GAATATGCAAACCCCAAAATATGCAGGCGTCAGGGTCGGGATTGGGATCGCACCCACGGACTCCTGCATACCAGGCGAGGGAGATAACATCACACCACCGTGGTGCCTGAGACTACGATACAACCAGACCACCCCTCAGAGAGCTCCACAGCACAACCGTAAAAACCCTACTCAGAAGTTATGACTCTATGCTCCAACGTAGGACCGTAGTTGACAACAAAAATAATCTTCCAAAAAAAACCGAGAATTCAGACCTGTGCTCAGGCTTGTCTCTTAGCTGGCCAACCCCACACCTAATCTCGTGTAAACGCAGCTTTGGGTTTTTTTGGGAGGCCGAGCGATAATTTCCAGCGCACGCAGTTACATGTCACCCGCACACATTCGTGTTGCCATCACCACCTGCGATTGCCACGTACATCAAATATATAAACGTTATCTGCTATCGCTAAACTGCCAGCTCTTAGAGGCATTAGGGGAAGCTTAATAATGGGATAATGTATACTGGAACGAACAATCAATTTGGCCAAGCAGCGTTAAGGGACCTATAATTCAATCAGTAAACCCTCCACCCCACAATCTGCAGACCACTTAGAACATTACTCTGACATTAAAACTGGAGCGAGTGATTGCTTTGCTGTTGTTTAATCTTTACTGCCCTTTTAATACAGATGTATTTGTTTTAACAGGAATCAACAACTACAGGTGAACTTGCGCATGAAATGCAAGTGGGGTTAATTCGGACTGCAACTGCATGGGATTCTGCGATGGTGTCAACATTGGAGAGGTGGTTCATCCCGCTGTGGATTGAGAATGGATGAAGATGATGAGCTGAGCTGGATTTCCAAAGACGCAACACCAATAACACCAATCTATGTTCATTGTACTCCAGTCCGAGTTCATATGGGATGACTTGTTTCAGAAACAAAACAAATAATTTGGTGATGCTGCTGCATTGGGAGTGGTGTACAAGCACAGTTTACACTCATCACATTTGGCACACACACAAAAACACTGTGGCCTTAAAAGTAGAAAATACAATAGGTGACGTTTCGGGCAGTATCCTTCTTCAGAGCACATTTACAATGTTTCGTAGCACATATGCTGTGCTCATATATGCGTGCTATGAAAAAGGGTCATGGCATGTATGTATGTTGAACTTCATTCGCACCGTACAGAGCCAACCGTGCTCATCGGATCGTTGCCAGAAAAGGTCACCCATTCCATCTGTTTTCTATTAAGGCCACGGTGTTATTGACGAACGTGTTGAGTTGAGTAGGCGCAACAACGTAAGAGGGGAGGGAGGAGGAGGAGGTTGTGTAACGACCATCCGCCCCAGTCCCCTGCTTAGTAACGAGTCGGTACGCCCGCGAACTCGTCGAGGAGTCGCACGCGGTTGCTCGCCCAGACGGCGTCCAGCCTTGGTGGTCGCCGTGTACGGGACGAGCCGAGGGAGCCGTGCGTGCGCGCGTTACGTAAGCCCTGCCCGGCGTGCTTGTGCCCCCCCCCCCCCCACGCGCGAAGCACCGCGGGGCTACCGCGCGCGCTCCTGTTACACGTCGCCTGCGTCATCGTCGCCATGTCGAGGAGCGTGCGCGTGTCCTTGTCGTCGGAACGTGCGCAGCTCTCCGTTAAACGTTGTCACGTTTTGAGTCGAACCTTCACTTCTGCGCGAGTGCGCGTGGTTGGTGCGTTTTGAAACACCGTGTCGATGCGGTGTGGAAGAACTGTTTGCAAGAACTTTTCTCGACATCGGAGGCGTTTTTATTGTTCGTGTAACCCATATCTTTTCACATATATATTTTATTTACTATGTTTATATAGCGGATATCTTTTAAATAATAATAGCATCGCTCTCAAGCGACGGTGCTGATTCCCACGCCGACACTGAATGAAAAAAGTGCAGAGCAAGTCGCAGCTGCTGCTGCTGCTTTGATTGATAGCAGCGATATGACCCCAACCGGCACATGATCAAGGCCAATTAATGGCCATCTAATTTAGCCTCATAAATCTTGCTGCTGTCGAGTCATTAACGAAGGCCACAGGCGGACGCTGTAAATGTCGCAGTGGTTCAAGTTCACAGGCGTGGCAATTTCAATTAGGATTGATTAAATTTGACCTCGGAAAAGAGAACCGTGCAATTACTGTTCTGTGCGCCCTGCTCAAAATCCTGTGCAATACAATGGTTTTAAATAACTACTCAATAAAACAAATACGCAGTGTCCAAAAATATATGCAAGAGCGTGTAGGTGCAGTACAGTATATATGTTACACGCTGTGCAGTACTGTTTGGCTAGAGGCATGTGCCTTTCACTTGGCGCTTCATCAGCCATGGTCAATCCACTGCTGGATTAATGTGTTTCGAAGTTGCTGCCATCTCTCGTGATCCTGCACTTGCACGAATTTCGCTGTTCATCTTCGTGGTGGACCTCCTCTCAAGATGCGTTCCATTCCCTGACTGCCATTCCGTTATTATCCTTGCCCATCGGCATTCAACCCTTCTAGCCATGCGTCCTGGCCACGCCCCACTTGCTTTTCCCAAAAGTTTGAATTATGTAATTAAACCTGCGTAACGTTCGCTAATCCGTGTGCTCCTGATTCTGTCCATTTAAATGTAATACCACGCATGCATCACACAAACATGCCGACAGAAGAACATTGAATCCGCGTCCACGACCGGTGATGCACATGGTTCAGATACATGGTCATTCACCCAATACAATATGGAACCCAACATTATGGTTGCTTATGCACTATCAGACACTCGCTGCATTAACCTCGCTGCTTTGTTTTATTACGTGGGGTGATCGTGTAGCGGATAGCGCGCCGCGCTACGAACAACGCAGCCCGAGTTCGTTACCCGCTCACGACCATCACCAGTGATAGCGATTATCTGAACCGGTCATGGGCCTCCCCTAGGTCGACTCAGCCTAAAACAATAGCATCTGGCGCGGTGTGTAAAAAACACGCCACTGGGGAGACAAAGGCGGCCGGGCATGGTGGTGACCACCTACTCGCCCCAAAAAAGTCTCCTAAGGCTATAATTGTCTCGACTCTCGAGGGGCTTCGCCTTCACTTCGGGATCTCCTGCGACGAGTGTTGCGATGACGTAAGTAGAGGCCAGCCGCCTTCAAATGACGGCCACCCACTCCCTTCCCCTCCCTCCTTCCACCAGGCTCCTTACTCTCACACCCCCTGCCTGCCTCCTAACCCCCACCCCGCCCCAACCCCGCTCCCCATGTAACAACGCGCTCGCACGGCCTCTCTCTCTCTTCTCTCCGGCCCCTTCCCAAACACGGCCCCACTCCGCTATACCTCCCAACATTACATCTCACGACTTGGCTCAGCCCAAAGATAAACATGCCCCCCCCCCCACCCCGTGTAGACTTTAACAGGGGGTGTTGCAGTGCTGTGAGCGAGGATCACCTCGGCGTGGGTGGCCAGCACCACGCCCGGCCGCCTTTGTCTCTCACCGTACCGGGTACTCATTTTAGGCTGAGTCGACCTAAGAGGGAGGGGTACAGGACCCGTTCAGATAATCATCAGCACACACACACAGATACGCGTGGACACCCACGCAGTAACAACCTCCGTTCGCCACCAAGTGGCGGTGACGTTACCACGGCGCTTGCACCAGGCTATGTGCTCCTCTAATTCCACGTGAGGCATCGGAGGCTCGCTGGCAGGAGGTCACGGGACAGACCCAAGTGCCATGGGTTGACTGAGATGACTGACAGATACACCACACGCACACTAGACTGTTCAAGGTACTGTATGTACACGTGCTTGAAAAGAGTTTCGGACTTGGCTTTGGATTCATATTAAATATCTTTTTTCTGTTTGAGCTCAGCGGTAGCTTTTTGAGATTAGTATATATATACGTGTGGGTGTATTAGCGGGACGGATGAAATGCAGCACAGGTAGTGCATCTGTCAGTCTTCCCAAGTCAGCCAAGCCATGGTACCTGGCTTTGTGTCGTGACCTGTCAGCGAGCCTTCCACACTTCACGTGGCCTCAAGGTGCACCTAGCTTGGCACAAGCACCGTGATCATGTCACCGCAACTTGAGAGCTAACGGCGGCTGTTGTAGTCTATATATGTGTGTGCTGTCATGTTGTAATGTATCTGCAGTGTGCGTTAAGGAAGAAACTCTCCAAACTCCACAAACATGCCCGCAGGAATTCATCCATACACAGGAGGGGTGGAGGGTCATAAGTTTTTAACAATGGGATGTTGTCATGTAAAGGTATTCTAGCGTCATCCGTGCCTTTTAAGCCGCTCTCCTGAAAATTGTATGCGATTATTATTTGTATCTCTCACGTACACAACCGGAACCCGAATGCATGCCATGGCAAACAAGACTGGCACTTCATCACGACACCTTTTTAACATCTAATGGTCGTAATGTTTCGATTTGTTTCTTGTACGGTATATTTAACGCACTTGCGTCTACACACATAGGTATACAGTGGATGGTCACACAATCACACGAACGCATGCTTTGCTCTTCCTGCAAAGAATTTAGATGGCCCATTTAAGCCTGTAAACTATTGGGGACAGAAGCTGCCACCAAACACATACAAGCGGTGGTGGAACCAGCACCACGCCCTGCCACCTTTGTTTCCCCAGTGGCGATCTACACATACTGCACTCATTTAAGACTCAGTAAACCTAGGGGAGGCCCAACACAAGGCTCGCACAGCACGTGCCACTGATGTGTATGGACGAGGATTCGAACCCACGTTGCTTTGGATCTTAGTGCAGCGTGCTAACAACCACCGCTGTGCATCACTGTTTCCCACATCAAAGACAAAGATCCCCCGTATAAACTTCAACAGACTGTTGGGGCAAGTGCTGTTAGCGAGATCACGCAACGCACACACACACACAGAGACACGCACGCACGCACGCGCATTCACACACAAGAACTGCCAATGGTTCCTTCTCTCAACAGCCCACCCACCCAATCTGTAAACCCACCCACCCCTCCTACCAACCACACACACTCTCGTACCCCACCCTTTACACCACCCAACCCCCACAGGCAAGCGGTTAGGGCGAGCTTGTCATAGAAATGTAGCTCGCTGCCAGAGAGGAGCGGGAGAGAGCGAGGCAGCGAGTTGAGAGAGGAAGAGCGGCTGGAGCGCAGACGCGAGTTTGATAGGAGAGGAGTCTGAAAGTTGCTACTTGCACGCGCTGTAACTTCACGCAGTCCCCTGCACAACGTGCCACGGATGAATGAATCAAGCGACACCCCAGCCGCGCTGACGTCCACTCAAGTTACCGCTCACTTTGATTGGATGTATAAATATGCGTGCATACGCGAGTCTCTGAATACGTGCCCCTGCTGTACGGTGTCCGTCTCGAGGACTTGGCTGCTTCGCTGCTGAGAGTCGAGGGAGACCCCCCCCCCACCGCTCTCTCTCTCGCCTTAATTTTAGGAAGCGGGAGAGAGAGAGAGAAACCCCCTCTGCTTTTGCACCCGGGCAACGAACAGTACTGGCTGGCTGGCTTGCTGGGCTGGATGTGGTTAGCCATGCCTTCTGCCTTCAGCAGTATTGGAATACTGTCGCACTTGTGGCTGCTGCTGCTGCTGCCTCCTACTCTGCCGGGTCAAATGCACCGCGTTGCAGCCTCTGCCGAACGTGAGTACCCCTCCTCGTACTCCTCCTGTCGACACCCGGGCGCGCTACACAACCCCCCCACCCCTACCACCACCCCAGGGCATTCCCCTCGCTCCGTTCGCTTATCGTGCTCGAATCGTGGCCGCCCGGCATGACCGGCAAGCTGACCGGCCGGCGGCTGACCGGTCGGCTCGTTTGACCGGGCGGATGCTGCGTGCGTGATGTTCGGCGTACGATCGATCGCGCCAGCGCTTCTCATTGGCGAATGAAAGCGAGCGGCGGTGTCGATGTGGGGTCACCCCATGCCCTGCCGCTTGCCGCCGCCGCTGCTGCTGCTATTTGCCACCCAGGATTGCTGCTCGCTTATGGTAGAGTTGCGATTGCCACTGCGATCATCCATCGTAACAATGTGCTCCGGGCACAGCCTCGCGTTTGGCTGCGCCCTCTGTGTCGAGTGTATTCAGATTGTTGTACTGCGTTGTCTGCTAACAGGATAAATAACCGGCTGGAACTCGTGGGATATTTTATTCTGTCAACGAATGAATAAACAATCCCATTGACTAACAAGTTTACTCTATTCATGTTTTAAACCTGGTAATTGTGTACTGTCATCCATGACTGTCTACTCACTCATACAGCTAATAGAAGAGTCTTAGCAAAGACTGAATTGCCTTGGCAGATACCCATTGGCCGTACTACTGCTATTGGCTCGTTTGCAAGCATTTGTGGTCGGATGAAAGTTCATTTGAAGTAGGCTGTATATTTGTATGAAACAACTCGACCCTTTTCACAATCTGCCACTGGATGCTGAGCCGGTTAATCACGCTTCACCACGCTGGTCAGTGCGGGTTGGTGAGGGGGTGGTGCTGGTCGGGTTAAAATTCCACCCACAAGTGGTGTCAGCTATGCTCCGGAGTCCAACTCAGATGGCAAACTCCACACCTCTGTGTGCTAACCACTTGCGCCACCGCTCTACTCCCTAGAGTTTTAGCAATCAGATAATGACATTAAATGTCGTCACCTCTTGGGAGCCGTATAGCAAGGGTTTCATTTTTGGGGACCTTTGCAGGTAAGTGGAGATGAATGCTCCCAAATCACGGTCGTGGGTTTTTTTCTGTTCGAAGTAAATAAGCATCGCAAGCTGTCACGGCCCTTTAAACGCGTGGTCTTCGTGTCCTGGACCAGGGGCTATAGCCATACATTGTATCCACCTCGGGGGATCAATGTAAAAGTTACTTTCATAGGTGGGTGGTGGTGTGGGGGGGGGGGGATCACGCACACAAAGGTGTACAGGGATACGCACGTCCATTATTCTAAATCCTTGCTCAGCAATTTCTTGCTCAGCTCTGAGCTCACGGAGAGGAAGTGACGGGACCTGAGAGAGAGAGAGAACAAAAGAAGCAGGAGAGAGACTTGAAAGTCACCCTGTATTCTCGCTGCTACATTCGGCTCACACTATTGTCAAGTCAAAGTTTATCCAAAGCCCGTCGTGGGAAATTCCATATTACCTTGGCAGGGGCCATTCTCTCCATAGCACCACGAGAGATTGATGGGGACATTTTATATATGTTCCTGATTTGAATCATAGGGTAATTGTTACTATAGGGTAATCGTTACAAAGGGTCATTGTTACCATTGATTTGAATCATAGGGTCAATGTTACCATTGATTTGAATTATGGGGTCAATGTTACCATTGATTTGAATTATGGGGTCAATGTTACCATTGATTTGACTCATTGGGTCATTGTTACCATGGGGTCATTGTTGCCATTGATTTGAATCGTAGGGTCATTGTTACCATAGGGTCATTGTTACCATTGCTGGGTTCACTTTTTAATATATAATCTGTAACGGATGCACAAATGTTTAATGTAGTTGCCCCAACACCCACAGGAAAATAATACCAGCGCATTATTTACATGTTCTTCTGGTTGTTTATACTCTTGAAGTGACGTTTACAGTGAGGACACTGATATTAACACTGCCAGGATCTGGACTGGTGTCCCAGCATCTTTATTGCAAACAAGAAGCAGCCCTGTAGTCGTTTGCTCATTCCACTGCAGCACAGAAAGTCCTCTTCCAGAAGGAGCTCTAGGAAGGTCCTCTCGAGGGTAACTGTGGCCTTAGAAAAGGTGTGAGTACCCACACTTTAACCCACCACACACGACCTGCCTCATCGACTAACTGTGGTGTGCTCATTTGTGCTTCTGGGTGGCCAAACTCGGTGGGGGGGGGAGGTGGGAGGTTAGAAAAATGAAACATTTTCTGCCGATCCGGGAGATGGAATCCAAGCGATGACCTCTGGATTGCAAGTCCAGCGTTCGTTACACCGCAGCAGCATCCCCCCTTAACATGAAGGTCAACATTACATATATACCTGGTGGGCTGAAAGTAATATTACTATTTATTAGCAAAACAATTACGTGTGTGTGTGTGTCTCTTCTCTTGGTAAACTAAACCATGGGCCACCCTGTAGGACGACAGCACTTGTAGCCCAGCCTTAACACAGCAGCAGCAGCAGCACCACGCTGTGTCTTGTGTTGAACAACATGCTCCACTTCCTGCAGCCAACCTGCTTATTTTCTAAACGACCAGGGCCACACACTCACACACTCTGACGTCTGACAAGATCAGGCCCTTTTCAAGTGTTATGGCTCGGGGCCATGCTGCACATGGAGGTTGAAGGTTTTTTTTTCCTCTCTCTCTTTTCCCAGAGTTGTTTCTGAATTCCGTGTTTATTTTACCAATGATTCGGTGAGTTAACTGGGATATATACATTAACAAGGGCTCTTACGTGGCGTGACTCAGCGTCGTGCGTGCGTATGAGCCCACGTCGTGCCTTATGATTAATCATGTTCAGGTAGCGTGGCGAGCGTGGAAGAGTACGTCAAGGTACTATCTTCAGGGGGTGAGGGGGTGGGACTCTCTGGTGCTCCCTCTATTGGATGCCCTTCTGCCAGCAGTGGCATTAGCAAGTTGTTTCGGAGCTGCTCCTTTATATTTTACCCTTGGCAATCCGGTGGTGGATCAAAGCCTGCCCTGTCCTGTCAGTCACAGAGGTCGTTTGACCATACTTCACCACGCCGGTCAGTGCGGGTTGATGAAGGTGGTTGGGGGTCCAGGAACGAGTCAGATATCGCTCGCCACTGATGTGAGCCGTGGCCGTGAATGTCGTGTGCGGTAATGTTTATTTCACGTGAGAGCATTTGTAAGGAATGCGATTTAACCTGTGCGCATTCATATTCAAATGAAGGCCATAGTATAATCTGGACACTATGCCGGATCATATCTATGGCGCTTGTGCGTAGCGGTGCGTGCCTGTAATCCAGCCCTTGGGATGCAAGGGTGTGTGGATAACAAAGGTATGCAAGACTCCCACAGCCTCTGTGCGCGAGGTGCTCAGGGTATGGCAGTACAGAAAGTGGGTTCGTGACCCCCATCTGTCTCGACCTTTGAGTGTTCATCCCGTCGTGTGTGTGTGTGTGGGTTTTCTCCAGTTACTGTGGTTTCCTCCTACAGGCACTCATAAAAAAAAACATCACTTGGCCAAACATTCCCAATGCAGAACCCTCTTGAAAAGCAGTCTTGAGAATCTGGATAAGCACACTACATTGTCTCAAAATGGGCATTTAGGTGTTCTGCTGAAAGAGACACGTATGTTATAGCACGATACATTGCATCATGGACTTGAGTTAGTGTGAGTTTGAGCTGTTCATGTACACGGTGACGGTGAAGAGGTGGGAGCACCCACACTTTACCCGACCGCGCACAACCTGCCTTTCCAATAACGGCGGCATATCCATTTATACTGCCGGGTAGACAGACTTGGCAAGATTTTAAATACTTGGCCATTGGTTTTAACCTGCCAAGCCGGGAGATCAAAACAAACCAGTGACCTCTGGATTGTAATTCTAGAGTCCTCACAATTACACCAATGCAGCATTCTTTTGAGCTGTTGGTATTAAACAGCATTAAAGCCCTTCTTTCTGGGAAATGGGTAAAATTAACAAATACTGGTTGATGATTGAAGGGCCAACCTGCCTAACCAGTGCAGGAAACCTTTGAAAGCGAAATCCATTAGCACGGTTGGCTACGTATGATGCGAAAGAAGTTCAACATACATGCATTTATTTAACGTTGCTGACGCTGATTCAATTGGTAAAAGTTAACTTGTGAATGGACGTCTGTCCGACTGCCCTCACGCATAGCCACGTGTGCTTTTATGGGGGGAGTGCAGCTTCAAAGATAAAAGTCTCACAGAGGAATTGACAAATGCGTTTCCCTTGTCTTGTTTTCGTCAGGCCCTCATAATAATAGTGGCGTCCCAATTTCTGTAGAGCCACCGAAACCGGGTGAGGGTTTCCATTCCCCGTTGGCAGACACTGAGTGCTGCTGAAAATTATTTGGATTGGGGTCAAATGTCTGCAAGTTTAATGAGGCGTCCAGCGTTTTTTTTCTTGGTATTCCTTGTTTGCGTGCATTAGTGGTATCATAGATACCGTTTAAAAAAAAAATTTTTAGGTCAAATAAAACAAAAATCAAGATGATATTATTACAGTAACCACGGTCTTCGTCTTTAAGCATTGCGGTGCAAAAGCACGCATTTTGGGAAATTGTACACCCTATTTGTCATTCGTAAGTAACTTTCACATATCTTGCGCAGACTTTCTCAAGCGTACATTGTTATTTGCGGTGTATCCAGTGGGAAGAAAAATCCCCAAAATAATTTAGTCAGATAACGTTACTTTCAGAATTAGTTTTCAATAGTAGAGAGGTTCTTCTCCTTCATCATGAAGTTCACTTCACATCTCATCCCTCTACGCCCACCATGGGGCGATAAAAATAGTGCCGATTTCTAAAGAGTTCGCAGTGGACACGCTGTGGAGAGACTGCCTGCTACCATCGGAATGAGCAATTTTCATCGTTGACTTTGGGACACTGACGACTATGAGCACCTGCCAAGTGGTCGTTGTAGCAGGGGAACCGACGATGGTTATGGTAAGCGTGTCGATTAATGTGCAAACGTGCATTTATATACGGGTAGAGCAGTGGCGTAGCGGCGAGGTGGTGAACGGCACCGCACTACGAACTTGGTCACGTGCATTCAATTCCCGGCCATGGCTAACTAACATTCGTGGCGAGCGACATCTAAAATAATCTTGGGGCCACGGCCCTTTCACCATCAGCAAAGAACCACTCTGGCCAACGCAGCCAGTGGTTCAGGGCAGCCAACTTGACTCGAACTCTTTCCAGCACAATCATCTCACACGCAGGTGCTGGGCAGGTGACGGAGACGTCGACGGCCTGGGGCAGGCTTTCATCCAGCAGTGGATTGATCATCTGCCTGATTACAGTGACGGTGATTGTCGTAAAAGAAACGATCTCTTGCACCCACCTCTCCCCGCCCCCTTTGCCAGGCATCGTCCATCGCGACCTTCCCGGATCCCACTACGAGGTCACCTTCCCCGTGCGCGTCAACGACCTGGGTGAGGCCATCGCTCCAGCCGCCACGGATGCCGACGGGGCCTCAGGCGGCCGTCGCCGCCGCAGCCCCGAGCCTCCGGCGCCGCGCGCGCACTACCGCCTCGCCGCCTTCGGCAAGGACTTTCGCCTGGACCTGACGGCCGACTCGTCGTTTCTGGCACCGGGATACACGGTGCTGCGGCTGGGCGGCGGTGGAGACGGCGGTGGAGCCGGCGGTGCGGAGCGGAAGGGGCTGCGCCACTGTTTCTACACGGGGCACGTGAATGGCGTGCGCGAACACACGGCCGTGCTCAGCCTGTGCTCCGGCCTGGTGAGTCGTGCAACTTGCTCCGAGCCGATTTGGCCACAGAGATGACCGCGAACACCTAAACTCCGCTGTGCAGCAGAGCCGCGCCAGGGCCATTATTAAAATTACAGTCAACTAAATGTGGCGTAGAAACTTAACAGCACGACGTTGAGGCTTACTGTAGGTGCACATTTTTTAGGGTGTTTGCAGTAGTGCACAAGTTAAAAGGACCAAAAAAAACGTAGTTCATAAAAATATATGTCATGTAGATTTGTAGCTTTCGTGACTGCAAGCATTCATACTCTTTGGTTTTTTCGGTTAAGTCACGAAGGTATTCTGTTGTGACTGTTCCACCTGAATACGGAAGCTTGTGTTGCCTCCGAAACGTCGTGATTTAATTTAGTTGTTTTCATTATTTTTTTTATTTTTTTTATTTTGTCTACGTGACTTTACCGAAAAAACCAAAGAGTTTATGTAATGTACTTTTTTTACTTTGAAGGCAGTGTGACTGAGAAATGTGTTGGGATTTTTTTGTACTTATAGATGGCGTGGAGCCAGTTTTTGGGAAACTTAGACGGAACATAATTGTGTCATTTTTATTAATGTTCAAGATTTCAGATACTACTGCCACCTGTAGTAATTCTGCAGTGTATCATCATTAGCGAGTGCCTTTTCCTGTCGAATGGATGTTAGAATACCCTATGACATCATCGACAAGATTAGCCCAATGCTTTCCACATTCATGGCTAAAATCAGAAAATTTAAATTTACCAACAGTTAAATTAAGGTAAGGCCATGCGACGACAGATTTGTGTGTGTGTGCATTTGGAGAATTTGTTTTGAAATAGGTGGTCATGTGCAAGCACACTGTTATAAAGTGCACCTCTGAAATAGTAATAATAACCTTTGTTAGGTCACAGTCTTTTCCTGGCCAAAACATCACCCAGAATAATGCAATAAATTATGATAAGTGTGCAGCAAAGAGTGGCGAGGAATGGTTCAAAATGTTAAGATGACCACCATCATCAGCCATTATTAATCCACTGCTGGATGAAGACATCTGCAAGCTGTCAACATCTGTCACGGTCCTACGATGTAACAATCCATCTAGCACTTTGGTCATGAGGTCATTTTGTCACTATAGCGTCGTGGCGTTCCCTCCTTTGCCACCATTCTAACGCTAGGCCTGGTGCTGGTCAGTTAGTCTCGTTGGTTGGTTTTGCCTTCTTGGTTAGTTCTTAATTTAATGTTTCAGACATTTTCCACAAGTAATGCTTTTTCTTCTTCTACCAATTGGCCTAAATTTAGTTGTAGGTGCTTTTTATGTATCATATCTATTCTAGGTACACTATTTGGATAAATGGTAGTCTAACGCCGTGACTTTTATATTGTCTGCCCAGCTGCCCATCTGATTTCCGATTTATTGCAGCACAGTATTTCCATCACACGATCTGCTCTGTGTTGCATCGCGCATAAATGTCCACGAGATAAGCCACTCCATTGGGCTATGATTTGTGGCCAGGTCACTTTTGAAAAAGAGCTATTTTGCTCAGCGGGTCTTACCTGGTATAAAGAATAAAGTTTTTAGTTTGAGTTTAATCCCCGCCAAGGAGGAGCATCACCTGTTGTCCCTTGACGCCGGCAAATTAAAATGATTTCTTTCCGATCGAATTCTCACCAAATCCAGTATCTCTTGAGATGACAAATCCCGTGTCCCTTTCACACGAGTGGGTCAGTGCCATTGAACCACACAGTGCGTAGCCTGGCACGTGGGGAATTCACCCGTCATTCCTGTCTGTGCTGGGGCTGAACCTACGACCTAGCATGGCTTCGTGCGCAGGCCACCAATAAAAAGGCTTTATCCAACTAAGCCACCCTGCCATGGTTCATCCACTGTAGTTCAATGTCTGCTGTATACAGTTGTATAGAATTTCCACAGCTGTCTCCCATTACGTGTTTTTTCTTTCAAAATGTTCCTCTGCAATTAAACAGATGATCCAATCGTATCGGGAGTATTACTCCTACAATTGACTTTTACATCTCTTTTTAATTGATGTATGTTAAAGGTGTCAATGTTTAATCATTAAATTGAATTGTATTGCCAGTTCCACTCCGACAAAAAAGTGGCAGATTCTCAAGTCACCCAGGAGCCAGTGCTGTGATCGCACAGGTCTGGGCTATCCCATGTTGTTGCAATGGGGGGGTGGGGGGTGAAGGGGGTGGGTGAGTAAGGGATGCGTGAAGTTTGACTTTTACTGAGTGCAGGCAGGCAGCAATGGAGGGCAGCCATGCATGTCAACCATCTGAGTGTCATCCCAAGGAGACATCTGGAGAACTTTCCCGACAGTACGATAGCGGGGAAGCATTTGCACGCAAGCGCTGCACTTTGACAAGACAGTCTATATGCAGGAGCTTTAAATAGACCATGGCTCCTACACCAGCGGTGGAATTCAAATGGCAATGCGGTGTAATTGGATCTGAATATATAGTGCTTCGGTGCATGGCCTTATCGCACGTTTCCATTGTGGCCCACAGCGTCGTCTACTTTGGGCGACTATTTTGGTGTCACATTAGCGAGAGAGGCCCCGAACCTTTTGGGGACCCTATGCCCCTCATTAAGGCTGCATGGTTTACGCCATGAATGTGCAACAGACGCAATGCCATCGAAACCGTAAATTACGTTCAGAATACCTGGCATGGGCATCTCGAGCACATCGCATTACATAACGTCGTGGAGCCCGTAAAGTTCGCTCTGATCGCTCGCATTCCACGCTTGATTTATGCAGTGACCGCACGTGCCTGGCATAAGACGCACAGCGCCAGTGTATATACATAGGTGCCAGACACGCGATAGCCGGGGCCTTTATTTTCATCGTTGGTCAGGAGGCGGGTGACACAATAGATCAACGCGCGGGCCAAATAAATGATCCAACACCACGCACCTCCCCCCCCCCCCCCCCCCCCCGGATGAAAAATCGTACATTCCGCAGGTGATCTTCAAACGAGGTTCACCTGTTGGCATGCATGGATAATATAAGGGGTGGAGAATTCCATTTCGTATATTTATTTATTTTGCACAGGGGAGGAGGGTGGAATGGGTGTAAGTGGGTTGCTGGATCATTTTGTGTTGCAGCCACCCAAGACTCCCCAAAGACCCGCTGTTGTATATTTGGTGCTGCTTAATTATAGCGCTCCGAGATCGTAGACAAGCTTTGCGTTGCTGTGTACCGCTCCGTGCGCACTGCATTGTACCCTCGTACAGTGCACTCAAAAGTCCTGCGCTGAACTTGTCACTTAAAAGTCCACCGCGTTGCTCTCTGTGGGCAGGGTTAGCACACCAAGTCCATCGGAGGTATAATGATTTCACAAGCCGCCATGGCATTAGCCACTGGCTGACCTTAAAATTGTTAAATATTTTTAAGCTGAAGTCAAATTCAAAGTGTCTTCCCCTGCTACAAATAAACATTGGATGGTGCCCGTGTCCATTTGCAGTCTTTAGTCATTGGTGGAATCCACGTGACAGAAGCAAACAACTCAACAGATCCGTCATGATAGGAACAGACTGTTGAAAGGACAATCCCTGCCCACTTTTTTACGGTACTTTACTCACCCCTGAGGGATGATGGAATGAGTTGACCCTGGCTGGAAGTTAAACTCATGTTTTCTAGGGTTTGAAGGCCTGATAATTTACCAGGTGAGCTCGAGCCTAGCAATTTTTATATGTAAACAAAAGGTTTATACAACTGCAGGAGCTACAATAATGTTGCAGTCTTTTATGCTTTTGTTTGAATATTATTTTATTGATTTTTCGATGTAAGCTCTCTCAGTAAATTTTCTGTATTGTAGCCACTTGCGAATCCTGCAGCACATTTCCAGAGTTTGTGCACTCATTAAACACTCACAAGGCTGAGCAGTGACATTTAAAATATAACTCAACAAACGGCTGCATTTCAATATCATTCTAAATCTAATGCCTTCCTGGGAGATGAAATCCAGAGAAAAGTAAATGATCCTTATGGCGATACCCCGGGGTACCAAATAAAAAAAAATGGCCGAGGCAATTGAATATGTTATATCTGGGACACTATTTTTTTCCAGGGGTGTACTTAACTCCGCGACTGGGGTACCAATCAATCCGAAATCAGTGCCACACTCCGCGATGTAGAAACGCAGCGAGGGCGATTCCGCCGAAACCCTGAACGCTCGCACGCACCGTGGTGGTGCATCGTGAGTACAGCTCGTCGAGATGAGTCGATTGCCGCATCGCCGACCACCAACAGACTAAAAATGACTGCATCACGGACATCATGCGAGAGCCGGGGTGCTATGGTACCACGGGTGACCGCCAAAAGGTTCAAATAACTTAAGCAAAGAGAAAGAAACCTTGCGTCATTATATTTTTTATGCGAAGAAAAAAAAGCAAGAATGGGGCTTGCATCCACAGTCACGTGCGTACATGTGCACAGACATTCAAGAACACTTTCTGTACGTACAGAGCAGTCTTTTGAGGGCACAAAGTTTCACTATTTCTTGAACGAGATCAAAGAGTACAAGTGCGTGTGCATTATTGCGCAGAGTTGTGTGCGGCAAGTGGAGGTCACAACATTTCCCCTCCTCCCAAGTCGTCGCTAGCTTACCAGGACCAGAAGAACAAAAAAAAGACGCACATATATTTACAATGTTATTATGCGGCCCCGTCGCTTTTGTGTAAGTCGACTTTACACATTTCCACTTGCTTCAGCGTGCGTTTTGCGTCCACGCAGATGGGGCATGCGCAGGCCGCTTGATTGTTACCATTTATATGGGGGGGAAAAGCCTGACAAGAAGTACGGGCCAGACTCTGAAAGCTTTTGGCTCAACATTTAAAAGGAAAGAAAAAAACACATTCCTTTGGAATAAGATTCAAGGATCACAGTGGTACCAGTTAAACGCCGAGTAAGTGTCCCCCGCTCTTGCGTTTACAATACGACGGGAGTGCGTGCCTTACCGGAGCCACAATCCTGACGTTTAAGCCATAACCCTCA